CTCTCTCTCTCTCTCTCTCTCTCTCTCTCTCTCTCTCTCTCTCTCTCGCTCTCTCTCTCTCGCTCTCTCTCTCTCTCTCTCTCTCGAGTCCGTTCAGCTGCTCGGTGAAGCCGCTGCCATCTGCTTATTCGGCTCCAGACTCCTTCAGATCAGTTTGGGCCACGATAAAAACGACCAGCTCTGGTGGTTTTGATTTTGAGCAGGGCCTCAAGGTTGATTAGCATATTTTCACCCAGTGTACAGACAACAGTCCACCCCCCACCCACCCTTTCCTCTCCCCCCCCACCCATGTGTTTGATTCCTCGGCCGTGACAAAGAGCTTCAACCTTTATCCATGTGTGTTGGTGAGATGGGGGGCCCTTAGATTAAGGGAAAGCTTCCTGCTCTTTATTTGGGGAGTCCCCCCGGGAGACGCTTTGGGAATGACTTTCGTCGAGTCACTAACGCCTACTCTCACACACACACACACACGCACGCACGCACGCACACACACACGCTCAGACGCACTTCTACACACACACACACCTTTCACCCCCTGCCTTTTCTTCAAGCTGCCCATTGACTGGGAACTGGTTGTTGTGTAACACAGAGTACTTTCACAAGCGCGCACACACACAGACACGCACGTCACACAGAGGCCCCCCAGTCTGTTCACAGTAGGTGAGCTCTGCAGAGGTTCCCCGTTCATGTCTCTGTAACAAACTAACCAAAACTAACGTAACTAGAGCAACACACACACGTGAATATAAATCAGCATCCCGCTACGAGATGGACAACACGCAGTCATTTTTCAAGCAAAAAGGCCAAACACGTGCCTGTTCCAGCTTCTCCTGTGTGCCGATTTGCTGCTTTTTTTTCTGTTTTATATGATCGTAAATTTAAAGTGTTTGTCATTTTAAGATGTCACTTTGGGCTGTGAAACTGCGGTCGACATTTTTCATTATTTTGATATTTGCAGACAAGATAACTATAATCAGGAAGTCAGGATGAATATAACCATAAGACCATTTAAATGCTTTTATTTTCTGATGATGCTTCCCTGTTGCCCCTCTTTCAAAATGTTTGAGGGCACTTAAACTACAGCTTCTTTTGTTTTTTTCAAAACTGCTTTTATCTTGTCGCTGTTTGGTTTAGTCCCTACACACTGCTTTGCAGTTAAAAATATTGAATCGACTGACTTTGTCACCACCCAGTCCTTTCGAGAGCCGGGAGTAAAATGTGACAAATCTTAAAGTTGTAACTCACCTTAAAGTAAAATAGTCCGAGATAGTTCCTAATTGGACCAAATTCAAAATTAGTGTCACATGATGGCCTCATCAATTCAGGTGTTGGCGGACTGTTTTAAACCTTTGTAGATACTGATGTTTTTTCTTTGGAAAATACTTGGTTCTTAAAAACAGGATATACTTTGGTGTGTGTGTGCGTGTGCGTGTGCGTGCGTGCGTGTGTGCGCGCATTTCAGCAGCTGTGAAAAACTGCTTTGGTTCAAGCTAGTCACCATTTAACTGATATATATTGGCTTCCATCAGCCCAAACGAATCAACTCAAAGCTCAAATTGATGTTAAAATCATCTGAATTGCAGTCGCACTCTTTTGCTTTGATGAGGATGACGTCGAGTCTGCATGCGCGCGTGTTTTTTTTTGTAGGTGAAGGTCGTTGCAGAAAGAAGCCCCATCCAAACAGCAGCCATTTTAATTTGTTTGAAGGGGGAAGAGAAGTGATAACCTCCCTCTGCAGCCGCACACCCGGGGAGGAGAGAGAGAGAGAGAGAGAGAGAGAGAGAGAGAGAGAGAGAGAGAGGACTGAGCAGAATTGCGATAACGTGCCGGATAGAGAGAGTCAGAAAAAAGAGAGAGGTGGAAAGGAGACTGTAATATGTGTGTGTGTGGCTCAAGGCTGCATGTTTGTCCAAAGGCTAAAGACTGTCAACCAGCTCGTCGCTGGGGACGACGAGCGGGCGCGAGTCGTTACTATCAGCACGTAATTTAATGCCGAGTACACGCGCCCGTGTGTGTTTTTCCATGTGTGTTTGTGTTGCGATTTCTGGATGTCAGTTACAGTTCTGTGGGCCTGAGGAGAGTGCAGCGGCGTCCCTCAGGGCGCTGTTAGTGCCACTCGTACAGATGTGCTGGGCTGCCACTCTGTCAGTTTCTCTGCGTGTGTGTGTGCGTGTGTGTCTGTCCTTCTCTTACAGGAAGCTGAAGTTGCTCCTCAGGGTTTAGAGTTCTTATTAGGGTTGGATATTGTCTTGAATTCATCAGCCTTGGTTCTTATTGAATCCTGGTTCCAATTCTTGTCATATCTTTTGAGCAAGAAAAGAATGGTTGAAGGCCAAAAGACACATTTTATTTTAGGTTGCAATAAATTTGTGACAAATAGTTTCCCAACAAATCCTTGTTTCTTGGGAATTGTGAATGAAACCTAACTACAATCTCTCTTTAAATCTTCCATTTTTTGATTTATTGTATGGTATTTTTGTGTTGTTGATAGACATCATCAATTAGGTTAAAGATTTTCTTTTCAGGAAAGCTGCGTTTTTTCCAAACATAAAAACTACAGAACAAACGCAGTAATGTTTGCTTTAAAGACAGCGATCAAAATGACACACGAGGTGAATTAAAGTAATAAACTTTATTTAAAATGCGCGGTTGAAAATAAGATTCTTAACTTTGTCAATTCAATTTTCAGTATTTTAAAATACATGTTTCTGTCCTGCCAGATGATGATGAAGGAGAAGAAAGTGGCTGGTTGGTTTCTGCCAAGGACAAAGAGGTTGGTGGACATTATTAGCTTTTCAGTATGTGATGCGTATCTTGACATTCAGCCACTCTTGTCTTCTGAGGTCTTTTTCTACAAAATAGTTTGTGGTTGTGGTCTAAAAGGCAGCGGTTTTCTGTAAATAAAAACCTGATGGGCACAAAACAATAAATGTGTAAATGATGCATCAACTGTGTGTGTTTCAGGCACGGATCTACAACAGAGACAAGGGTGCGAGGATGACGGCGCAGCGGATGTCAAACAGATACTACACCAACAAGAACGTCCAGTGTAGAAACTGCAACAAGAACGGACATCTCTCCAAGAACTGCCCCGAGTCCAAAGTCAGTTCCACTCATTGCACAGCAGCATGTACAGCTTATACACACTGACGAGTACAAGTACGTAAAACTACTAACTGTGTGTGTGTGTGTGTGTGTGTGTGTGTGTGTGTGTGTGTGTGTGT